GCACAGGATCTGGCAAGCAAGTCTCAATTTGTAAGACAAAGTTAAATGCGTATGAAAAGAAATTGCTGAATGAAGACCTCAACGATTCCGCGATATCGAGCAATCAATTGGCCAATTTTTCTCGACAGTGTGACACAGGCATGCAGGCTAGCGGAAAGGCTGGTTGTGAGAATAGCACTGCTAATGTCGTAAGTGCTGGTCATGATGAAGGTGCAAATTTGGGGCTTGTGGAAAGCACAAATTCTGGCAGTTTTCAAGCAAGTCCGGAAACATATAAGAAGCCAGTGTCGAATGAAGGTTCAAGTGGTGGCTCCGATCATAATGCGATGCACGTTGGCGCAAGAAGTGGGAGTGGTAATTGTGATCGCCTAGTCGATTCTGCTTTGCCCTCAACTACGAATTATAATAAAAGTGCGTGCAACTCGAAAGAAGTAAAGCTGGCGTTAACAGTGGGGAATGGTGCACGAAGTTTGGCCAACAAGAGTTCAACAAAAGGGTGCGACACTAGGACTGCACCGACATCCAAGCAATGCAATTGCAAAGATACGAAGTGTAGTAAAGAACATATCGCTGCTTTAATAGTTGAAATGGATGGTGAGCGCAAACGTGTTATTCAGCCTCAATCACATGGAAATGATGTCGAACGTGTCGAAGAAACAATGTTGCTTCCTTTAAAGATCTCCCCTTTTGCAAAGAGGGATACATTTGAGGGATGGAATATCAACAACAGGTCGGTGCGTCAATGCTCGAAGATCAATAAACTTGCTGCTTTAGGTTGCGACAATAACACTAAGTATCAAGAGCATGACCCTTCAAAGCAAGACAAGGAAAACATGCATCCAGTAAATTTGATAGTTCTGAAGACCGGTACAGTCGAAGCATCTCGAACATCGCGATCGTCAACGACCTTAAAGCAATTAAACATGAATATAACTCAAACTCAGCGTGGTCATCAACAACGAAGAGTGAAAACCTCCAGCACTTATTTTATGAAGCCTTGCTTCAAACTGGTGAGATCAAGACCATTTCATCCACCAACTGCTAACAAACCATTAAGTGCGAGCAAGTACAGAAGTTGTCATGAAACTGGTCGATCTACAACATCACGAACCAAGAAGCAGAAAATCACAGCGAATGAGGCCAAGCCATTTATTTACAAGAAGTTGTTGAGGATTTCGCTAGCAGCTTTGACTAGACTTCATGACGATCCGTGTGTCAGTAGTGGGGTCCTTAAACTACCTCGATTTCAAGTACTGCGCTTAATTACAGCCAGAAATGCCCATCGGGTTCGTTTTGGACAAGATGGCTGCTTAAATTGCTCTTTAGATGAAGCCTACGATACCACAACCTTCTTGGGCCCGCGTGAGCTGTACCGCAAACTAAAAGCGGGGAATTATATTCTCGAGAGGATGAATGCGACCTTCGAATGGTTCTTAAATCACTATAGATGGATTGTGTGGAAATTGGCTGCTACGGAGAGAGCGTTTCCTCGTCTTTTGCTGTCAAATTATTTGACACAAGATCAGGTTATGAAACAGATTACATATCGGTATCAGCGAGACTTAAATGAAGCAAAAAGATCTATTCTTAAAAAAATGCTACAGCGCGAAGCAAGCGCCACGAACTGTATGGTACTGTGCGTAGCTGCAGTGCTGCCTTTTAGTTCCGATAGCGTCGAAGCAATAGATCCGGAGCTTCCCGCTTTTTGGAACATGGCTCTTGTTCTTACGGATGGATGGTATTCCGTGTACGCTGTTCCTGACGCACCTCTAGCAGCTGTATTATGGAAGCTCCATTCGAAGTCTCACCTCGTCGGAACGAAGCTGGCAACTTGGAATGCGACGCTGCACAACTCAACCGAAGGAATTGATCCACTCGAATGTGCTATCGTTCGTGAATCGGAGTGGAGAAATCCTCTGCTAGCAAAAGAGGATTTGACGCAATGGCCATACCTGCAATTACGGTGCAACAGCACGCGCCGTGCAAGATTCGAGACGCGCTTAGGAGTAGAGAACTTACATCATTTGAACCTGACAGAGTCAAGACGCGGTGAGCAACAGCCACATCTTCTAATATCACTGCTTAAAAGTATTCCATTAAAAAGTCTAGAGATTGGTGGTGGCATGGTTCGATCGGTACGAATTCGAGTAACCCGCATTTCTCCAATCCTTCATCTCCAGTCTAAGGAGTGGACGCTAGGGCCACGAATTCTTTGTGAAGAGCAGCTCCCGCTGTACTTTCAACTTCGATCCGAGTATGCACAGGCCGTCATGCAAAAAGCATACACTCCGAACGATGAGGATAGCAGAGTCGACAATTACTTAAATGGTGACCAGATCAATGTGCCTTTGCCAATCCCATTCATTAAAGTGGACGTGGAGTGTACACACTCTTCTCCTGAGCAGGGCACCGGTATTCTGACGATATGGCGGCCATCTGACGATTTGCTTTCCGGTGGGCTCCGAGAAGGAGCTGAATATTATGTTAGCAGCTTGACAGTTAACTGGAAAGTCGACGGTGGACGTGGGCAGAATGCATTTGTGCGATTGAGTTCGACAAAGCATAGCGGCTTCGAAGAAATTAACGATCACGGTTCCTTGTTAAACAACATAACTCGCGATGAAACGTCGCGACAAAACCAACATCGAGTATGTCTGAATGTCCAGCAAGCGACAATGAACTACAGAAATGAATTCGAGAACAAAACTAACGTCCGCAGCGATGAAAGTAGACCAAAAATTGATATATGTGTTTGTGTCGTGCTTGTGACCAATCGAGAGACGCAGGATGTGTCCAGGTCCATGACACCAAATAAGTCAGACGTCTCGCTGCTTGACCCTGAGACGAAACCCCACGAATCTCGATATGTAGAGTACGTCTTTGTTACAGACCATAGTCGTCATTTAATGAGTATTCGTGTAACGGGTATGGAAGTGAGCATGCCTACAAAGAGCAGCAACCAAAAGTCGAAGCATTCATCGCCATCATCTATTCACTTTCGTCGGGGAAGCAAGATTTGTTGGAAAGAAGGCGCGATTTTATGTTTAAGCGGATTAGAGGTGTCGCACTACGATGAACAACTACGTGTATTAGACTGCGTCTTGGTTGAAAGCACGCAGATTGTTTCTTTCCCGTCTAAGAAGTCATCATTTTGGAATAATTTTCAGCTTCTTCAGCGAGAAGTCGGCAACGATCCCGTCCAAGGTAGTACAGTGCAAGCCACTTTTTCTGAAGAACTTGATAAACTGAGAGAATATGTAAAAAGAGCAATTTTGCAATTAAATTGTATCTCATCTCAAGAAAGTCACGAGCATCATATAGAGACAGCTGAACAAGAAAAATTAACGCAAGAATTACTAGCTCATGAAGGAGACACAACTGCTGCAGTTGAACAGAAAAGATTTTCTGATTCGTCTGCTTTCCAGATGTGGTGGGACGTAAAAGTTGTCAGAATAATCCCATTGTATGGACCTACACGCCCTATGTTTTCGCGTAGCGTAGAATTCATTGCGTATGTAAGCGTGGGCTCAAGTGGAGTATCGTTTCGGACATTGTATTTGACCCAGGAAGTGATGCTAGCTTTGCAGTCTTTGCTTAAACAAGCCGCTGTATCAGAGGGGACGAATGGAAACACCACAAAAAACATAACCGTCTTACAAAATGTTCAACAAATGCTGTGTAGTCACAAGAAGCATCACGGTGACTACACCTTCTGTTTTGAAGTCCATCAGGTCAAAAACGAATGGCTAGTCAATAGCTGGAGACCATGGCAGCGTTTACACGCTGAGTATTGGATCGCGACGACGGTTACAGCATCTCATTTAGGATCGTGATCGTTGCGCTTGAAATAATCTTTCTACAAGTTAGAATGAAATGACATTTCCGCTTTGGTCGGGAGGGCAAAAGAGAGAGAGCAGAGGATGGCGAAGGCAAAAAAAAGGAAAGATGAGTATCTTCGCCGACGCGAAAACGGCTTTAACCTGTCTGGCGTACATCAGGATCGCCTTCCATATTACAACGCGCTGTTGGACCGGAATTTGCGCCACCACTTTGAAAGTCGTCCACTTCAAAGCCATTTGAATGAGCTTGGTCTCATTGATCAATGCGGTCGAATTGTTGATCTAGACAAGCAGAAGTCAAAGTTGTTTATTATCGACCAAGAGTTCAAATTAGCCGAGGAAGCAGAGAGAAAGAAGCAGCGCGAGGAGGAAGAGCTACGTCGTCGTGTGCAATTGAGGCGTCACGACGCACTTTGCGACGCTCATCAGAGAGAAAAAATGATGCAGCTTAAAGAAGAAAAGAAGATTGCACGTGAGATTGTTCAAGTTACTAAAGGCTATAGCTTTGCTGGTAAACTACCGAGGAGCAGGTAAAGTGGCGCAGCAAAGAAAGCAACGTAGTCTAAGATTAACTTTCGGCTGATGTGTCTGCATGCGAAATTTAAAGTAAGTTTTATTATCGCATTAAATTTAGTTAGTCAATTGCTTAAAATACATCTTATGTATGTATGCAACATAAAATTTTAGATTAGGCGATAAACACGAGTACGTACATTGTTATGGTTTTCGAGCTCTTACCTTTGGACTAAGAGCAAAGCTTAAAACTCTCACACAAAAAGGTCATATGCTATCCGACTGTAAGTAATTGGACGTACATCCATCATTTCTCATGGTGGAAAACTCAGAATATGGAGCGTCTGCGGTAAGCCTGACAAAGTGGTGCAAGGATGCGCAAAATATTGCCTAGGTTGAGGAATGTTTTGTCTATCAAGGGCCCATTCTCGTGCTCGGACCTTTGCTTGCGGCCGTGCTATTGCTCTGTTTAAAGCGGGTCTATAGTGCTTGACAGAACTTTGTCATCTTTGCTCTCGAGATCTATGATCTTATTGGTCGGGTACTTGAGCCGAAGAAGGTAGAAGTGAAAGTGAGAAATATATGTAAGGAACTTTAGCTGTATTCTACATGCACACTACACGTTAACCGCAAAGACACGCGGTCCCAAAGGCACACGCCTACGCCTGATCTGATTTGTCCTAATGTCTACGCCTCATTCGATTGGTCTCAAAAAGCAAAACCTAGTCAAAACCGTACCTTCAACATTGTCGACTCGACGCATCCGCAAAGTGCCCACGGGGGTCTGGCTTCCGGTCACTTGCACGTATGCTGGCTTTTCCACTAATATCCAACCCTCCTCCGTAGAGCTCGGGGTTTCTGAATCACTCGATGTCGACGAGTCCGACCTTTTCTCGTAGCTCCTTCATTCGTGATGCCGGCAGCGACTTCGTCAGCAGGTCCGCGAGCGATTCAACCCTAGCAACATACTTTGGCACAATTACACCCTTCTTTGCAAAGTCCTGGATGAATTTGAGCTTGATGTCACGTGCTTCGCCTTGGCCGAGCTCGTTTCGCTCTCACTTGCACGATTGTGGCTGGATTGTCCATCAGCATGTCCATAGGCAATTTGATAGCGATTTCCAGTTCGCCCAGTAGCACTTTCAGTCCGAGTAGCTTTTGTGACCGTCGCGTCCGTCTCGGTTGTCTATAGTACCTCAGAAGTCTGCTTCTTGCACCGCATGATCCCGTCATACCGTTCACTAAGACGACCGCAGCACTCACAGACTTCCTGTCGTCCTTGTCAGCCGCAAAGCCAGCGTCAGTTTATGAGCGCAGCCGCAGCGGCAGGTTCTGGGCCTTGCCATCACCTGACTTACAGAGTTTGTGCAAACGGGTGTCGCTAAGATACCGAGAGAAACGCTTAGCGATCTTCCAGTCCGCCATCGTTGGCGCATGCGTTCGACGTGTAGCACAATGTACAGCGAACATGATGTCCGGGCGCGTGCATTTCGCGATCCACAGCAAACTCCCCAATAGTGATTGAAAACTAGTAACCGTCAGTCCATCGATGCTGTCTTCTTCGTCGTATGCGAAAGTAGCTTGATCATATTAGCCTTTACCAGAACCTATCCCCCGATCAGTTCGCGCACTGGATTCGAGTTGTCCAACTCGAACTTGATAAGCACCTCCATAATAGCAACTTCTTGGTCAGACTTGTAGCCATTGAGCTCATCGTACTGCACGCGAATTCCCATAAAATTGCTGGCAACGCCGAGGTCCATGAGCTCCAGCACAGCCATGTTAGTAAAGAAACTCTGCTGTCGTTTGTACCAGTCACTAGTAAGTCGTCCACGTATACTCCGACAACCCTCATCCTATCGCTGTCAGCCTTGAAGTACAAGCACGCATCCGTAATATCTGGCAGGAACACTCCATATATGACGAAGATGAACTTGACACCAGTTATTGTGATCACAGCTGCAAACACAAGAAAAAATTAACGACGATCTTTTTTTCATTACCGCAGGCAACCAGTCGAGTTTGTACCGCTCATTTTTTTCCAGTGCCCGTTCGCTTCTTTTTGTACACCCACTTGGTATGAAAGCAAACTACACAAGGCATACAATTGACGAGCTTCCGACGAACCGCAAAGTTTATCTCAAATTGATGAAGCCCGGATGATATCAGCAACTATAGTTTGACCGACAGCTCTTCTCCTTCTAAGGTCGGAGCCTTTTGGTGGCGGCGTCATATGATTCCGGGGTTTACCAAACAATTTATGTAATACAGAGTGTAGCCTGTAGGGTATGAATCAGAAACTTAGATAGTGGGATCAACTCACACCAGTATTGCGGTCTCTCCGTGCAATTTCCTCGAGGGATTTTTTTCTACAACGCAATTTACGCTCGCGGCTGTCCATCTGGTTGCTGTTTGTAAGTGGTTGTTATTCTCAATCCGATGTTGAGCGCCTTGAATAATGATATTTTAAAACTTTGTAATGGTGCACCGATCTCTTTCCGACATAAAGGCTGTCAATAAACCATGTTGTAACACTTTGTTGACGGAAACCTGAGCCGTGTCCCTCCCCTTCACATTACAGCTGACAGCACCAAGATGAGTCATCTTGCTCATACGGCCCACAAAAATCATGATGCCGGTATTCTCTGCGCGATTTTTTTGAAGCAACAATTATAAGATCCATGTGTATGGACTACCGGCAC